CTATACTCTGCTTTACTCTATCCCTTTACGCCTCTTTACCTTAAAGAACGTTTTATTTTTCACTCTTCTACGCTCTGCCGCCCTCTTCGGTCCTATGATACTCATACTAAACCTCTCATGAGTCCGATTTTTACTTCAACTCGTTTACTGTATCTGCCATTCGGAATTCTCTCCCTGAATCAATTCGAAGGGGATCCCCTTCTCTTGATTCCTTCAAACGACGTGTTAAGGAACATTTCCTTAACAATTAATTCTGGTTTTTACCCTCCATTCCCTTAATTTTATTTCCTTTTTGCTTAGTGCTACAATCTTCCTATGTTAATTTATTTATTGTTATTACTATTTATTACTTATTTTATTGTCTTACAAAAGTGTATAAGTAACCTTATCATTACATATTAATTATGTATATGTTCTAATAATACATGTGTTTATTATAATTATTATTTACATATTTACTTTATTGATGAGTAGTGTATTTATTTAAAACGCTTTCATTACAATATATTCTTTGGTTGCACCCCCCTTTCCAACTTTTAAATTTCAATCCTAAGGTTACCTGGAAGAAATTCCTACTTAGCAACAAGGCCGCCTGTTGTTCATTGGCCTACTCTGAGATGCTTACATTAATGTTCTGTTGTGGTTGTAATTTTAATGTGCAAGAAAGAATAATTCATTCATTCAATTGTTAGTTTGTACAAATGAAATGTGTGTCGTTGATTTAAATACGTGTATTTATAATAATAATAATAATGATGATGACGATGACGCTAACAATAACAATAACATACGTTTATTTTCTTTTTTTATTTTGTATTGAGAGTCTATTTCGTACCAATTTATATAACTAACGCATGTTAGATGTTATAGGTACAAGTAAATAGCTTAAACACAAAAATGTAGAGTGTGCTCGTATAGTAATCAACATTAAGATACTGTATTGTCATTGTCTTTGTTGAGCCAAAGTTCTCACTGAGGCTATAGGTCTCGTCCAGGAGTGCATAACCAACTCAACATCAATAAGGAAATATGAAATACCATGTTTATATACACCAATTTTACAGTGAATCTTTCCGAATAAGGTATAATTAGTATAAATTTCATGACCGGTAAAGGGTAAATAATGACATTGGATTAATGTGAAATTGTCCAAGTAATTCGATGAATGATGTTATTTTTATCACTAATTAAGTTTATTGCTTGCATTGTTGAAAGACGCATTACTTTCCTGAATCTTTAATAATGTTGGAAACCATTCTGAATCGAGCTCGAAATTATGTACAGACAACAGCACACCAAGCTGTACACGTTTGTATACACAATAAATATAGTAGAAGTGCTTAGTGGACGTGTCACGTGTGCCAACACGTACGCGTACAACGTGTACGCGAAATTTCACATACTTGAGCTCAATCCGCCATTCTCGTTTTGTACGTCGTTATAGTCGTGTCAATTATCTCACGCAAAACGTCGAAAATCGTGAAATAATGCCTTATTTTGCTACTGTGGACTGCAAAAAGGATAGTCCCATCCATGGTGTATTTCATATCATCGTTATGTCCTGTTTTTTATTTAATTTTAATATATTTTCTGTTTTCTGTTGATCATATAGATTGTTACGCTTAATATGCTGCCGTCCATACAACACAGTTTCTCATATAAATTTCTTTTGCAAGTGATCATGCTAAAAAAGCTATAGTAAATTAAATGAAGTTATCTAATACAAATTCACCAATCCATCGCAACAGTACGTCCGTTCATTACCGGACATGTGGGTACTTATACAGGATGTCCGCATGTTCAGTAAATAATGAAAAAACCTGAACCTGCCGTACAGTATAGCTTGACAATTCGAAAAAATATGCTTTAAATAAAAATGTCCAAAGTAATAACTAAGATAAATATGTTTTTTTCTTTAAAATGAATTGTTTTTACATCATTACACATCATGCACGACCACAAATGAAATTCCTGTGGAATATATTTACGAAGTATATTTTTTTACAGTCATAAGGCATTTCAGACTTATCCATTAATTACCGGACTCCTTGTATATTTAAAATTAAAACTCAACTCAATGCCACTTACCCGCGGGCAATCTAAAGTCCCGCGTGTACTGTACTTATTTTCATATGCATTTTTTTTTTTCAGAGCAACTAAACGACGCCCTGTTTCCTCGTGAAATACCCTGGGATTGCTGCACAAGGGCCTGCTCGATAAGCGAGCTGGTGTCGTATTGTTAAGTTGAGGAAATATTACAGTGCTAGTCTTGTGCAGTGTAAGAGCTACATAGCGGTATAAATAAATGCTATATAGCGCGGCAGAGCGCAACATCAAAGTTGGTACTACATTATAATCAAATACCTAAAACTCCTACCAGAGCAATTCAATTATAATCAATAATTGATTTATTTTACGTGGAATAACGAATAATTATTGAAAAATAAAATATTGCAATATTTATCAATACTTCTCAACCCTCATGGAAGAATTACATAAGCGAAGTTACGCCAAAAATGATTATTGCTCTATTGGATACAGAAAAATATAAACCACGTCCTCCCCAATTCTTGTAACTCTGTCGACAATATTAGTCGATAGAGTTACAACTTCCTTGAGGGGTAGGTGTTTTACCTTTCCATCGTCGTGAAATATCATGGTACCTATTAGTACCATGATATTCACGACCCTGGAAAGGTAAAACGTTTAACGTTCATATGGAAAATATTACACAAACGCGATTAAAAAGTAATTTTTTAAGAAAAAACAATCATCTCTAATTTTATTTGTTATATGGAAAAGCTGAAACTTTCTAGTTTTCCATATAACAAATAAAATTAGAGTTATGATTTTTTTCTTAAAAAAATTACTTTAAATTGATCTCCTGTAAAATTTTCCAAATGCACGTTAGACGTTTTATCTTTCCAGTGTCGTATATATTTTGTGAAAACATCCACTAGTTCCTTATTATTACTTATTATAAGAAAAATTCCTGAGATATCTCGATCTTTAGCTACTCGACCTGTAGCTCAGTTGGTAAGAGCGGTAGCCACGGTTTAGCAAACAGACGCTGTTTCGAGTCAAGTCGGATCGAAGTGATTTTTTCTGTGTTTGTTCTTCTTTTTATCAATAATAAAAATCAAATATTGCCCATGATATATTTATTGCCCCGATGTTTTAAAAACTGACCACGTAATTATTTATTGATACATACTTGAACCACTTAATCACTAAACGCTAAGAGACAGCGGCCATACGCGCAATAAAGCACTTTACGTACGCTGCACAATCTATAAAGTTACCTATAAACATTGCAACAAGAGAATGAATCAAGTTGATGTTAAGTAATGGGCGTTTTTTTCTCAATCAGTATAGTTTTATTTATATTTATGATGTATTATGATTTCCATGTAAATACATAGTTTAGTTTTATCGTGGGACAGCATTCATGAATTATATTTTTTAATTATAGTTTTTCTTACTTTTAGGGGTCTTAACAAATAAATGTGATAATATGGAACATAATTGTTTAATAGTCCTCTGTGTTATCATGATTTAGTCGGCTCTAGTCGCCAATAAAGCAGATTTAGTCGGCCAGTAATTTTAAAGTTACAAGGGTGTTTTGGGCTGAGTTTACATTGCAGTGGAATGTAAATAAGATTATATTCCTGTTCAATTAAGTGTCTTCTCAATTTGTAGTTTTTTTCAGTGAAATATATAAAACTATTTTAATTCCTCCTTCTCTTTTATTTACAATTGTGTTTCTGCCGTATAGCTAATCTCTCGAATCCAGGAATCCACGGCAAATTCCACGAGTCTGTCGAATAGCGAATGTGCCAAATCATGAATCTGTGGAATCCAGTATTTGTTATATTATACTGAACGGGTGAGGGAATTCTTTTTGATTTTAAGTAATTGGCGTTTTATCGAATCCAAGAACTTGCCCCTACCCAAGTCTGTCGAATAGCGAATGTGCCGAATTACGAATCTATCGAATCCAGAATTTATTCTATACCGAACGAGGGGACGAATTTTCATAACCATAATGAATTTTGTAACAATTGTGTACAAGTTAGATACGAGATAAAAACAGGTCGCGTATTCTGAGGAATTCTCGCAGTTACTATATTGAATCTAGTTCGTACTTTACAAAATAATAAAGTTCATTATACTATGTACAAGTGTTGAGTTACTCATACACGAGGCAACTCGTTTGTATCACTCGCTTGGTTAGTTTGTCACAACACCTCACGTCATAAAAATGTCTCACTTCATGTCATAGCCTCATGTCACAGCCTCAACCATGTCACACTGTTTCGAATTCAACAAATGCAACAATGATTGGTCCTGCACTGCCCGCTTTTAGATGATTATAAATCATATGATCATACACCATAGTACTAAATAAATAGCACTTAAGTTATCCAATTGACTGATGCCATCAAGTTATGAAAATGTGCTAAATACTCCCTGTCTGTTGAGTCATTGTCGTAGGTGCATACATGCTTACCATTACCTCACCTCATTTGAAGTAGTTAGGTAGTAGCCTCATTTTTTCAAATGAGCTATACCCTCAAACTCATTTTAATTTCATGTCCTACCCAACACTACCATGTACAATTTCGTTACAAAAATTCGCTTCCTTTGCGTTCAGCATAAGTTAATTTTGGGAGCATCATTCCCGAATGCATTAAAATTTTAATAACTTGATTATGGTGACCTTGGAATAAGACACGCGCCTTGTTGTTCCTTTATCCATAAAATTTATTAAATGTATGTAATTGGCATGTACTATATACGTATATATTATTACATATATTACATATATATTATATAATCACAAATTAATTTCACAGATGCTAGTCTACGAATAGATTATAATTTCGCTAAGTTTATATACATTTAATTGCAGACAACTATTACTACAAATAAAGATTTTACGTTTTAATCACAGTCAATTCTGCAGATAGGTACTTCTACAGAAAAGGAAGGGAAGAAATAACAAAATGCTACTTAAAATATACCTTTATTTCCTATTGACTCACATCATAAAATAACTCTTATAATAATCCTTCCATTTCTTTCATAAATTGCATGTACGCATCGTCTTTGCTAGGAGCTTGTTTGGGTAAATCGGCCGTACGTTGTAAGATAGTCTTGATCGGTTTGGCCTTTTTGTCCTCTCTTTTCACGCGTAAAGCCGAGGGCACGAAGCGTGTGACGTCAGCCGACAGGTTTCTTATTTGCGGCTTGGCGCTTATTGTAGCTCCTGTGAACAAAAGTGTGGTGAAACACACGCATGTAACGATCGATCTAATGTAGGTATATTAAAATATTAAATACATTAGTATCGATACTTTTTGATATGGAGTACTTTACTATCGGGTGCCAGCCTCAATCAGATCTAATTTAGATAGCCAATAGCGCGCGCTTATTTCAATTTTATCACGTGTGTCGCGACTATCATGCGTAGCCATGCTACGGGGGCAGGTATAATTGATTTTTTTCAAATGCGGTGCACAACAGCATCAACGCCACTCCCAATTGCTTCCGAGGCCTCTACCGTTTCTTCAGCGCCCACTGTGGGCCAGGGACCACTTTTGAAAACTATGCACTAGCCTTTTGAGAACTGGATAAAGGCTGTGGTCAAAGGGGCTGATCTGGGGTCAGGATCCAATTAAGGTCCCTGAGCAGGCTTTACTAGTAATAGTGCCCTTCCCATATAACCATATAAAAAAAAAGTTGATAGGGAGGGCACTATAAACAAAACTTAGCAGAAGATCTGCGACTGACCTTTATAGGAAACTCGTGATCAACAATCAAAATACCTAGAAAGTATTTCACAGCCACTGGCTAAAAGCCAAAGTGACATTTTCAATCGACGGATAAGCATCTCTGGCGACTATTAAACAGACCAATTTGTGCGACTACAATGTTGTCGATAAAATTAGAATCGAACAAGACTCGTGTAAACTTAAAATATGAATGAAATATTTTACACTTGGTACTATGCCATACCGTTTTTGTCATATGGCTTCCAAATGTAAATAGAATCACTGTATACCATATTTCGTGAATGTCGGGCAGGCATACATTTACGTCCATGATGGTTAAACAAAATGTAGCTGCAGAAGGTATATCTTCACCTAGAAGTAGGGCATGCAAACCGGTTATTCGGTTAACCGAAAAAACCTAAATAAAACCCGGGTTTTTGGATTTTCTATTTTGTGTTTAAAGTATTAAAATGTACCTAAATTCGTAACACATAATATGTATCATGCATTCATGACTAATAATGATAAACAAAAGCTAACTAAATACCTGTACTGTATTATTGATTGATCTCATTAGCTGTGAATTCTATAAATAATAAATGTAATCTGTAAAACCCTTATTTGATGTTTTTTTAGTTTTGTGACACTGTTAAATAATTATTTGGGTGACCATAGAAAAATATTTGAAAAAACCGAATGACCGAATAACCAAAAATTGAAGACCGACAAAAATCGGTCAGCAGTTTTTGCATACACTACCTAGAAGATACGTGTTCACTCGAACCTTTACAATATCCAGGTTGTACCCATAATGAAAGTAAAAGCAAAACGTTTCCTAAAATTTCTAAAATCTCGCCCTGTCTGGTTGACGGAGTGCATTCTATAAAATATCGAAAGGCATGGTAATCATTTGCAAAATTGGGTCGGATTAACTCTAGTCAAATCATCTTTTTTAAAAAGGCCTCAAGTGAAGCCTCCTAACCGTCTAATTTGAAAGTCAAATTCAACGTGACATGTCAAATCCTTAGATTCCTGAATAAAACTATTTTGGTTATACAGGTTTCTTTCCTGAACACACTTCCTAACTTCCTATAATTCATATGTCTGACTTCCTGTTACAGTGGTAACCTTCTTTTTCTGGGTTGTAAGGTGCACTTCTTACAGCGCGGGCCACGAGGAGGAGGACGTATGATTAATTGCACTTTTTTCTTCTAGTCCCGACTTTGCTATTATTTTTCCTTCGGTTTCTTGCCACTGGACCTTAGGCAATTATGCACAAATTCCTGTGGCCACCGGAAATTTGATCAGACTCAACAAGATTGCAATAGTGGACTGGCTTCATTTCTAAAACCTTTGCTACATATTAGACTGCTGTGGTAAATACTACTAAATAGTAAAACGACATACCTTGAGAACCATCCTTCTTAGAAATAAGTTGCGGTGCGGCAGACAATACAGAAACTTGTGGTGGCAAAGACTTAGGCGGCGGTGGCGGCACCAAGGGGCGCAATAACCGCGGTGGGGCTCCTGGAGGAGGACCCGGAGGACGCAGCATAGCTACAGGTGGGAGGCCTGGTGGAGGTCCAGGTGGCGCCCCCGGACGTCCTGCTGGGGGACCCGGGGGCATGCGTAGTGGTGGTGGGCCTAGAGGCGCTCGAAGTGGCGGTGGTCGGAGACCTGATGGTAGGAAAAAACAAATGAATGCAAGCAAAGAATGTACAGAATTCGATGGTAGCCATCAAGACACGCAATACCTACACATCACACCCCTCATGGAAGAATGGTATAAGTGGAGTTACGTCAAACATGTTTATTGCTCCATTACAAACAGAAAAATATAACCCACATCATCTCCAATTCTTGTAACTTTATCTACAATATTAGTCGCTAGATTTACGAGAATTGGAGAGGATGTAGGTTATATTTTTCTGTATCTAATGGAGCAACAAAGGTTTTTGACCTAACTCCACTTATGCCGTTCTTCCATGAGTACTTTTAACTTGGCTTTTTAAGAATCTGTTTCATGTGACGAGTTCGCTTAAAATACACCGAGAGTTACCATGTTTAAGATTTACCAGGCGGTAGAAGAGGTGGAGGCATCTGCCTCATTTCTGCCCCGGGTGGCTCGAGACCGAACTCCTGCGGCATTTGCGGCATCTGCGGTTGCGGCAGCTGCGGTGGTGGCAGCTGCGGTGGTGGCAGTACGGGCGGCGCCGGTGCCGGCGGAGGCCCTTCGTTGTCGCTGTCTGAGTCCGTGTCGCGACCTCCTGGCGTACTGCGTTTTAGGGCGCTTAACCTTAAAAATAATATGCATTTTTAAGTATGGTTCCAATAATATAAACATATCAGAATAAACGGTTGTAACAAAAAGTTAAAAAGAAGCAGCCATATTGCAGGGAGGCGATTCATAAGACCTTTATTAAACTGATATAAAAATAATTCAAAAAAAATATTTTCGCATAATAGAAATGCTTATTTTTCTACAATTTGTGAGTTTTATTTATACTAGATACACACCTCGCATTCAAATCAGCAGCCCGATCTCTTTCTCGTTTCCTGTGGACCTCTTCCATTTCCTTCATAAAGTCGTCAATGTTCTGTCCCGATAAGGCCAGCATCCTTTGCTGCAGCGACGTCGGCTTCGGTGCGGCGGGGGCCGAAGGAGGCGAGCCGGGGCGGTCATCTTCGATTGCTTCGCCATCGAAGTTCTCGAGGGGCGGCGCTTGTGTACACACTTGGGGTGGGGGAGGCGCCTGGACATATATTATTAACACGTTTAGTATAATAATGTCTGTCTCCCAATGGGGTAGGTAGGAGTTACGGACCTTCATGTGCTACTTTCACGACTTAACTCTTTCGCTTCGACCACTCGCATCGATCTTGCCATACACTTTTTTTTCTTAGTACTTTTTTAACACGGTACAACTATAACTTGTTAATTTTGATTATGTACCTACCAAGTACCTTAACGATACTTCAATTATATAAAATTAATGGCAGTAAATTGGACTTATTTAATTAGATATTCTAACAAAGCAAGATATATACAGGGTTAATTGTCAAATACTAAGGGCGCTTGTACTAAGAATTCGACGTGTCTGCTACAGAAAAGATGAGAATGTTCTTGTACACGACAAAAACTTTGTCGGATGTAGCCACGAAAACATGTCGTGTCTGTTGCAGACGATAAATTATGATGAATATGTACACGATACGAATGGCTTTAGATAGACGTTTGTAGGGCGAAATGTGTGCATAACGAGTCTTCCAGGTAGCTGTCGTTTCACTAGCGACTATGGGAAGAAATATGTTGTTGTATATGTTGACTATTAGCAGTTTTTAGTAATGTGTAATTGCTTAGGCAACACCCGTCCATGCGCAAAAACGTTCGTTTACTGACAATGCACCACACCACGCCCCATACAATAGCGGCACAGTGCGTCGTATCGGGGATAGACAAGAAGATTTTTCTTGTCCGGCACAGAGGCAGTGTACACAGTTCGTGTGTAGAAACGAGACGAATTCTTGCATGGACCCGGCGACTTTTCTAGACTTTTTTAGGCCTATATTACTAACATCATAAATAACAGCTTTTGTTCCATGGCTTTTGATGTCTCATCAGATTTTACTTTCGTACTAAAATAAAATTATTTAAAACGCTGTAAACTGTGATAACTCTGTGCACCAAAAGCGCGACATTTTTTTAATTTACAAGTAAAATACAATTGTATAATGTCCCAAAAACCAATTTTTAACTGTCTTCTTCAAAAAAGGAGGAGGTTCTTATTCGTCTGTATGTTTTTTTTTGTATGTATGTTACGCGATAACTCACAGTATACAGTACTAAAAACCCGACCTCAAAAGTCATTAATCCCCTAGTTTGCGGGTAGCAAGTTAGAGGTGGAATATTTTCTTCAAATTTAAATGGGACCACTAGTGAGGTACCCTCTTTCCAACAAAAAAAAGAATCATCAAAATCGGTCTACACATTTGATTGAGTTATCGCGTAACATACATACAAATAAAAAGACAGTCGAATTGGGAACCTCCTCCTTTTTTTGAAGTCGGTTAAAAACAGACTACCGGGGCCCCTTGAAGATGGTACCATGGAGAATTTTATGCCTAAACTCTGTCAACAATATAAAATAAATAGGAAATACATTTTTAAATATAGTTTTCAAAACGCTTACTTCTCCCGGAGGTCCATCTGGCATGTCGGAAAACCGTAAACTCTTCTTTTCTTTATCCTTGCGGTCTAATTTGATAGCCTCCAAAAGTAGGATCTCGAGGTCCGGAGGTGGACCTGGTGGTACACCGGGTGGCTCCGCTCCTATTGGTCGTTCCTGGAGAAGATAATGACTCCACTTGAATAATTAATAGAACAGAATAGTTAATTTTGCAAACGACTGTTTTATATAGGCATATGAAGACGTCAGTTCCACACCAGGCGACTACATAACGAGATCACAGGTTCAACCCTCGAGCGAATCAATACTTTTTAAACTGGTCTGACCGTTGAAATCTTTGGAGAAATCGTTACTCATTCGCATGTGTACCATGGTGTTTCTATTTTGAGATCAGGGACTTGGTGTGGCACATTCATTTATTCATTTTTTATTATTAAGGAATAACAAAACACAACTTAATACATCGCATAAAGAAAAATAATATTTATCTTGAATCTCTGAGGCCAAATTAGTAATCCACAATGACAAATTATTGAAGCCTTATAAATATACAGAACAAAGCAAAATTAGTACTGGGCTTATATTTTACAATTTATTAAAGTCGATGGTAAATTATTTCTCGTGATGTTACATATGCTAACAGAAGTACATATTGTGTCATCAATGATCATCGTCTCAGGCCAAGATTTAGGCAATAGGTTCCCAAAGTTTTTTCTCACCGGGCGGCAAGATAAAAAAATTTCAACGCCTACCACCACAAAAAATAATTAAAACACGTATTTTTTATATTAACATATATAAAAAATATACACTATATGTCGACTCTTCAGCGCCCACTGGGGGCGGTAGGGACCACTTTGGGAAACTATGGTTTACGCCATAGTCCGCCACGCTTGTCCAATGCAGGTTGGTTTCACGCGTTTTCCGAGGGTTGAGAACCTTCTTCAAAAGGAAAACAATGACTGATGAGAGGCAAACTAAATTTTCCACATAAATTCCGAGAAACTCAGAAGAGCGAGCCCAGATTCGAACCCGCGTCCTCTTCTTGAGATGCGATAAGTCAACCGATTGAGCTACCACTGATTTTTTATAATGTATAATCTTTATTTGTACATTAACATAAATTTTTACTGTGTGTCTATTACGACGTTGAAGTTGATGTTCAGTACATTAATGTATTAGTGAAAATAAAGTCTTACTTTATATGCAGAATCTTTCTTCAATATAGGTTTCACAGGCATTATAGGATGACCTGTGTCCATTGGTAGAGGTATTTGTGAAGGCACATTGCCGTAAATTAAGTTATCAGGCACCTGAAAGCAAGGGAAACACAAAACATAGAGAGGGAGGTGTTGAAAAAGTATATAACGCACTTAGCTAATCCACTGACAATAATGGTTTTGAGGTGGTACTTTTTAGCAGTAGCGATACCTGTGAAAGAGTTCGTCCAGGGAAGTACTGCCACCTCACCTATATATGCAGCTAAGCAGTAATGTGTTCGTTACTGCGTTTCGGTTTTTAAGGGTAAGGGTGCCAGTGAAAATACAGGCACATGAGACTTATCTACTTATATCTCAGGGTAACAGGCACAGTTGTTGGCAGTGCCCCTCCGATCTTTACAGTTTAAAACTCTGAGTGGCACTGCATCTGTAATGAACTGGCGTGTCGCTAACCACCAGGCTTAACCTACGACTTGTTCGTCCCGTCACTTGGTACAATAAAAAAATACCTGGAATATAATTTTCTTATATCACACTTATTACTAGGGAACTCTATAACCTGACGATTTGGAGTAAAAGTTACTAACAATTTTCTTACAAAAATGATGGGACCAGTACTATCGTGTCAAACCAAAACACTGCAAGTCCCAGTACAGGGTTTTGCAATATCTTTCCAAAAAGAATCTATCAAACAACTGTTATCAAGGCAATAGAAATATATTCTTTTTTCAATAAAAATAGCTTATGTTGCAATGCAAACTTGTAACGCCTGGATAGAAATGTTTAATATCTAATGTACAAAGTAAGTTAAATGTATCTTTTATACTATTAATCTCATACAAAAAACTGAAAAAATATTTTTACAGAATTTTATCTCAAAATTCTGTTCCCGATATTACATTTTTCATTCCACCACATTGTTAACTTTTTTCCAAATTTCACATTTTTTCGAGCGAGGCGGGCGAGTCATTTCAGGTTATAGATGCCCAACAGAAAGGTGAATGATATTGACATATCATGTAGAGCATTATAGGATGAACTAATCCAAAGGCTGATCAGATTTGAAACCAAATGGAGGATTACTTAAACACTTACTTGTAGAGTAGGCAATGGAATATCATCAACTTGTACAGACTGTGCATGTTTCACTGATTCGTAGTATGAGATCAAAAGGGCTCGTCTCTTTTCGTATTCCATCTCCTGTCTCTTCAGCTCTACCCATTTTTCTGGCTCATCTTTGTCCTGAAAAACATATTCATATTGAGGGTAAATTTATACTATAGAAAGTTAGATATACCTGAAGACTGAAAAGATTCTCTATAAAGTCGACGCCTGAAGTCGCTTGAAGTCGCTAGAAGATGCATGAAGTCGACTTCAACGTGACGCCACTGTGGCGCTGCAGCCGCGCCACTACTTTCTTTTTCATACAATCATTGCAGTCACAATTAGTGAACTTAAATTATTGAAGTGCTACCAACTTAGCTTTTTAGAATTGATCATTTAACTGCACGATTTGAACCAAGGGTCATTCATAAAAACTGTTAAGAAATGCTCGTTCAACCGAGGGGATCAATTACCCTTCAGCAGAATGAGAACATCGATTAGGCAATGTTTTTTTTTTTATGAAAAGAAGGAGGCAAAATAGCAGACGAGCCACTTGATAGGAGGTGGTCAACGTCGCCCATGGACATTTGTAACATCAGATGAGCTGCCTATCCGTTGCCAGCCTTTGAGAGCCCTGTAAACACTTTTTTCAAGAACCCCATGTCACACCGCAAAGGAAATACTTCAGGAGAAAGATCATGCCACGCCTTGCAGGTTCGAGGAAGAATCACATATGCTCTTTTACAATATACTTACATACATCTTAAGGACTCTGTCAAAAGTCTCTCTCAATTTTTTTCTCTTCTCTTTTAGCACTTTCTCATTCAGAGGTGATGGTTGCAATACATTGTATTCTGAAAAATATTATTTTATTTAAGGCCATACAAAAAAGTACAAGCAATTTATTCTGTATTGTGTATAGTCCACGTGTAAAAGAGTAATTATTGATTAATGTGGTGTGGCAAAATGAATGTAAATCAAAATTTACACAATAAAGAAAATACATACAGCCTTGTTACACTATGCAGCACGATGTTAATATTCATCATAGAGTTACTTTACTCAAAAACTCAAATCATCAAATTCTATATGTATATACTTAAATGTACAATGTTATTGATTTTTACGGAGGTAGAGACCTGGCGACTTGAAATACAGGATCAACCTAGTTCAGGCACCAGTCTCTGCAAATATTGTGCTCCATAACACACATCAATTAATGTATGTGTGCACTGTGCAGTGTAAACTTTGCAGAGAAAATAAAGATTATTATATAAACAGAATATCTTTATTTTATTAGCTGCAACAATTAATTTCCACATGATAAATAGAATACTGCCAAAGTTAATTATAGTTAAGAATTTATTGTCCAGGTATTTAAAAAAGCTGCCCAATTACTCCATATTTAGTGGAAAAACCCCTAAGTTGGGAACATTACACTGATAGTAGTGCTTTAGATAGTGCTGCTTAGCCATATCCATATGTTGCACGAGGACTTAGGTTAGGGAGGTACTTTAAGAACCTGAACCAATTTGTTTCTTAATTCATCAACCAACCCATTTCATCAATCTTCTGGAGTTCTTCAAGAATCTGTTGTGGATCTTTCATTTTGAGTACAGCTGCTCTCACCATCTGCCTTTGTCTCTTGTTTTTCTTTAATTCTTTTTTCCTTGCTTCTTTGCCTGTATTATGATTTCAAATAAGATCAATGTGTGATTTAATATTAACAGTTACAAAAAAAAACATGGAACTATAAATGTAATCTTGCTTTAACCTTGAACAAAAATAGTAAAGAAACATGTACACTTAATAACTTTCAATGATAGAGATCTGTTAGGGTGCATACAAATCTGGCGAATGCGCCGCAAATGCGCCTGTTTGGAAAAGCTCGCGAGCTGCGCACTTGTGTTACGTAGTGCGATCTGTTCGCGTGCCACATATAGGTACTAACGTGTATTTGACTGCATGCATGCAGCACGCGTGCAGATCGCGCGCGCTGCGCTCATGCAGCACGTTCGCGGCGCATTCGCCAGATCTGTATACAGCCTTAGATCAATGGTTCCCAGACTTATTTCGGTCATGGGCCCCTTACCGTAGCTAAAACTTAATCTTGAACCCCAAGTAAATTAACTTAAGAACTACTAAAAATACTGAACTGTCCACACCACATAAGCCTTGTGCGACACTTTTCCTTATAGTTTTGTTTAAAGAAGATGTTCAATCTTTTTCAAGAACCCCAGGCACTTCTTCAAAGTATTTTTTTACTTCACAAAGCTTCAAAATATTTGTTTTTTCTACTTACCACAGACCCCTTGAATCATCCTATAAACCCCAGGGATCCATATGGACCTCTTTACAAATCAGCTAATGGCAACTGGTTAGTACTACCTACACACATTTCCAATACCAAAGAAGTATCCTCTATAATGCAATACAGATCTTTACTTTTCTAATTTTGTAGTTGAGCTGGATCTCCCACTCCACCCTATCTAATTTCATCTAAGACACATGCATTAGGCCAATTTGATAATAATATTAAAACTCATTAGACAGTAGTGCCCATTATGACCTCTAAATCTGTTTACTAAAATAGAAGACAGAATTGTAGGGGTCATCAAAGCAGACACAGTAATGTAACATGTGTAGTGCCAATTAAAGCCGAGGTTAATAGTTGATACACGAAAGGGAAATATTGATTTAATCTTACTTTTAAAATTTAAGATACAATATTTAATACATTATTTCACAAAATTTTTTGATCGTCCTGTTTTTATTTAGATTTTTTTTTCGAATTTTGTTTGTAGTTTCTTTTTTTTTTATTCGGGGAGCATAATATTGAAGTAACAGCACATTATGATGGCCGTTTTCACTGACTATAGTGAGGTGAACTCTCAATTGATTATTGAAAAAAATATAATCAAATGCAAGTGCATAACTTTTTAAATTAAGTCTAAATTTAAATTTATAACTACTTACTTATAAGTTATGTATTTATAAGTTATGTATATATATATATATATATAAATTTTAGATTTATACTTGCAACGGGTAGCTGATTAAAAAGTTTTAATAACATGAAAATAAAAATGTGGACAGCGATCCTATAAATGATGATTGTATTAGATTTCATTTTTAATAATTAGAATTTTGAAAAACAAAAGTTGTGTTATTTATGTCATAAAAATTATGCATTCCATAAAATTTACTGCACATCGCTATTGACAACAATGTACAGCAATTAGCTCCTTCAATGTAGTTATGAATTAATACGAAACTTGATGAGCAGACAAATGTCAAAACGGATATCATAGCGTGCCAGTACTTTAAGTAAATAAATATGGCTGTTTACAAAAATAGCAGAAACTGACCAAAAAATAAAGTGTTCTTTAGAAATATTGATTTGGCACTGACAAACAGACTTCAACTATGAAAGAGATTTGTGTACCACAATAGTCTAGCTAAACACATGAATATACATAACTATGCCCAGTATAGGTTAACCGGGAGGACTTCACACATTGTAAGATATTTCGATTTTATCCTATGCAACTGAACTTTAAGTATTGAAGATCCCGATGAGAACCTGGTTAATAGAAGACGGTTAAAGCAACACTTTCTTTAAATTTCAATTTTTTTTCAGAGATTAACAGAATGGGCACCACAATATTAATTTCATTATAAAATTTAAGATTATGGACCAAAATGACATTACTGATACCCACCATGATTAAAATAGAACATTAAAAAATGTAATAGTAAATAAAAGAAATAAGGAAAGCGAATAAAATGAGAAAATAATGATCTTACGAGCTTGATCAGTCGGGTTCATGTATTTACCACTTTTAGTGGTATTTATCGATCGGCGCCCCATTTTTAATAATTTAATATATCTGCAAAGAAAATAAAGTCACTTGTTCATTCAATCAAACTTGCAATTTAAACAAAATTACAGATTTTTATGCTTAAAGAAAAGCAACGCGTCGGACTCAAATAACAGCAAAAAATTTGACACTATTTAATGACAGCGATAATTCAGTGACAGTGACAGCAATAATCAAGTTGCCACTTAAATATCTTAAAATTAAAGAATATTTCCTAATGCTCACACAATATCAGTAAATGTTTTTTACAATCTTTGGTCATAAAAAAGCATCGAGGATATAACCAGAAATAGAGACGAAATAAGGCCCATATATTCCTGGTAACACATTAGCGACATAGCTCTTATAAATAAATATCAACTCTCGTTTGCACTGAAATATAGACAGGCCAACGTACGTCTCCGCATATTCCAAAAAATATTCTGTATTAATTGTAAAGCTTAGAATAATAACGCATAGAAACCTAGTTCGCACACGCTAAGTGAGGCAAATTAAGAAGGAGAAGCGCTCCCAATGGGCCTACACGAGCGGGCGGGCCGTCAGTGCTTAAGGTCAACTTGCACCGCGAACAGCTCAATTATTTTAGCTAAAATGACGAAATGTGCGGTAAATGAATGTAAAAATAAGTCAGACAAACATAAAATAGATACTAACATAACATTCCACGAGGAAGTAACGCGTTTCAACTTGTATTTTTATATAAATATTCACTAAAACCAAAAATTAACCTACTACTAAAACTAGCCTACATGAATTTAATTTTTGCCTCACTTGTGACAGTTCGTTTGATATGAAACTATCATTCTATGCGTTATTATTCTAAGTTGTAAAGATAATATCTCTAACAATGCCGTGCTTTTCTATTCGGTGGTGTGGAAAAAACAGCAAAACATCTAATTACAAAACAAACGGAATCACATTTCATCGGTAATTAAATATTAAATATGTAATTTTGCAATTTTCGTCCATTATAGCAAAGCTCAAGTTAACTGGTCGATTTAAAGTGAAACTGTTGACGACACCCGTCAATTGTTTCGAACTCGGGCTAGCGAATCGGAGCGCAATCGTCACAGTAATGATACGGTAGAATAGTTTTCAAACAAATTAAATGACATTTCGTCTCTATTTCTGGTTATATACTCGATGTAAAAAAGTCATCTTCATCACAAATTATCTATAGGCTTGAGGCGATCATGTTTTATCATACTTATCACATTTTGACGATTCGCCGTCGACGCCACCGTACGGGCGTCGTCGTCGACGCGGCTGTTGGGCTGTCGACGCAGTCGTTCGGCCGTCGACGTGTTTTTTCGGACTATATGAAACCTGACCTTCGCGATTTTGAAGTCATTTGGCCGTTGATGCTGCCTTTCGGCCGTCGACGCGGCCACTCGGTCATTTACGCTACCGTTTGAACCTCGATACGACAGTTCCAGTGTCGACGCTGCGCGGCGACGCTAAGCGACGTCGTGGCAGTCCGCAACGCATGCATGGCGGATTGCAATGCAGGATAATGAATGCGATAAAAAAATTTAAGGATGCGATCAAAAACTCGTTAGAAGCAAAGTTAACCGTGTTGAACTACTATGCAATAATAGGGAAAAAACGCACGACTTTTCAACCGACTTCAAAAAAAGGAGGACGTCCTCAAATCGACTGTACGTTTTTTTTGTATGTGTGTTACGTGATAACTTACCGGAGTTATAAATACCGATTTGTGATCTGATTTTCATGATTCTTTTTTGTTAGAAAGAGGGTACCTCCGTAGTGGTCTCATTTCATTTTAAAGAAAATCATCCACCTCTAAGGGTGGCTGACCACGCATGAACATTAATTTTTATAAATAGCGCCTAAATTTTACTCAAGGAGCAATTATTTTAATGGTTGGTTTTGCTATTCTCCAATTCAAGGAGTTTTTCTCTCAATATACTTTGAGTAGTGAGAACCGATTTTTATTATCTCCTGTGTCAAGTCCTGTATAGTGGCGAACTATCTATAGGGATATTTCAATAAAACTTAGCAAATAGATGTAATTCCACGTACTTTTGAGGTCGGTTTTTAGTACTCAGTACTAAGATTATTTTCCTATTATTACATAGTCATAACGTGAAGCTTTTTCTCACAGGATTAACGCGATTCCGTGGCGATAAGTTGACTGAGGTCAAAGTATTTGCAATTTTACTGCACCAATGATCTTAACCTTGCACAGAAACATTTAAAAAATCCTTTCAGACTCGATGTCGAGACAACAGGAGTGATGCGTTTTAATATCGCAAAAAACACGTAATAAGTACTCAAAAAATACTTCACTGGCTCTGCGACTCAGGTCTTTGGCGACTCCACCCTTCCAGGGATATCTCGGACGCTCCACTGGACGCAATAATAATAATCCTTTATTTTCTTAACACAGTTTAGCCTAGGTTCTAGTGGCAGAAGTCTCCTTTTGAGCATATAAAGAATGTGCCAGGAAAACCCGAACGAAAACGATGCCCTATAAGATACGCTCTTTTGGCAGCTCAATCTTCTCCCATTCTTTCTACATGTCCCAGTCTGCGAAGTCGGGTAGATTTTACTTCCCCGATTATGTTTTGCTGAGACACTAGCTCTTCGATCTTTCCTGATCTTTCTATTGAACTTGGCCCTCCAGTTCCCACATTCGCCTTTGATTGATCCCAAAATCTTTCGGAATTCTTTCGTTCTACCAACGATATCCACGCACTCTGCCGCTAATATTTTATGTTCTTTAACATAAATTATTACATACTTAAATTAAAAATGTCATGTTAAAAATACTAATGCTAGTGATACCTATATTTATAAACATTTTAACAGGATTTAAAACACTGTTGTAGCTTTGACACTTTTTTCTAACAAATATGCAACCGTGAGTTAAATTAAGACAATCGAAAAGTCATTGCAAATTTATTATTGACAGTTTTATTTTTTCTTGGTTATTTAGCGTTATTAGCTACTAAAAACCACTTAAAATTTAATTAAATTCTAGGCCGTATGAATATAAAAAAACCGAGTCACGTATATCGCGGATATTTTTATTTCGTTCTTTATAATTTGCATTTTATTAGCAAGATAAAAAAGGTAAAATCAATGTTGAAGGTGGTGAAAAGACACGACTGCAAATTTTGTTTGTTATTGTCGTCAAGTAAGCACTGGATTGCAAATTGCAACCATTGCAACTGGACTTGATAGAGATATAAGTATACGTAGGAGTCGTAGACGGGCATTGTGAGGACATTATGGAAAAGTCTCTAAGAAATGATTAGGTACTGAGTATAGTAAAATACTGATAATTTTTTACCAACTTCTAAGCTTTTTTACATATTCAATCGTCTTGAAAGACTACTGAAGTGAAACAAAAAACATCCCGTATTGTATATTTTTCATATTATTATTTTAAATAAGCTATTATTGTAAATAGGTACGCCATATTAAATATTTAAATATGTTACATTTTAAGGGATGTTGGCACATATCTAATTTACATAAGTATCTGCATTGTTACAATATCTACATTTTTCTAATTGCCTACATGTTTACTTAAAAAAAACCTAAACCTTATTGTCGCTCGTATATTGATACTCCATGTGACAATAAAAGAAAAAACCACCTGTCTCGGAGATACAGGTCAATGTCCTCCATTAGAAAATTAATTTTAAGGATCACGTATATTTGATTCATTGAATCTAGTTTTCAAATTCTTTAATAGCAAGTCATGGTAATCTAATCATACATAGCTACTAAAATTCATTAAACACATTCGAGAAGTGTACAACCGTTACTATGACTATTGCTTCTGCCTAGGCTACCCAGTCAGTATTTTACGCGAGACGGGGCCGGGGTCGGGGTGTTTGTAGTGAATCGTATTCACATCGTATCACGTATTACGCCATACGCACACTAACAATATTTTACGAGACTACTACACACTTACTGGTTTCATTCATGTACCGAAACTAGATCTTTGTTTCTATCACTTTCACGCTAGCGAAGAGTAAGCCCGTGTGAGTGAAATAGCAAATTCCATGCCCACGACATGGCGTTTGTTGAACCGATTCGCCGCGCGTCGGTCGAAGTCTGGCTCGCTCCCTCGCGCAGTGGCAAAGAACGCGTCAAGGCGTACTTTCGGTCCGCGACGTACGCTAGCGTGTATGTCCATTATTGATGCAAAACTTCCACGATGGTTGATCATAACGAGAAATTATTACAGGAGTTACAAAAGAAAAGTGGTAATAATGTGTGTGCTGATTGTGGCGCCGACGGTACGTGATAACAAGTGTTTTTAACTAGTGATAATGTTTTTCCTGTGTAGCGTGGTATTTCCATGGGGTGAATAGGCGGGGGGCGTAAGTGCGTCCATGCTGTGGAGTTCAGTGACCTCAACGTAAAATGCATTCAATGAAAACAAATCATCGATATAGAACATCGTAATTTGAGTAAGATAATATTCTAAGTTGTAGACACGAAGAAAGGGATACACAAGTGAAGATTGTTCCGGTTATGGTCTTAGGCATACGCTAATTGAAAATTGATTTTGTGTGACCAAAAGCAGTTAACGGCGTACTCGTGTTTGTTTTGTAAACCACAACGCACACCGTTTCTAGTGATTAAAATTGATTATCAGAAACACTGTAGGTTATTCTATTTACTATCTTTACCTTGATAATTGCTATACATAACATTTTATATGAATGCCTTGTTTACAATTTAGCTAAGCGTTGCGGGTTGTAATATTTAGCTAAGGGTCATTCAAATCTTCTTTTCTTGCCTCTTTATAAATATTTTTAGAACAATTTAACTTTTAGTTGTATTTTTAAGATGTTTATACGTTTAAATACTCGTGTGTAAGTAGGTCGCTAGGCTTGTGTCTGTGTGTCACCTTTGGGACATTCTTAAATTATTTCTACGCTCAACTTTTTAATGAACTTAAAACTTACCTACCTACTTATCTTAAGTCGACCCAGTCATCGTTCTTCGAAAGTTATGACAAATTACTTACCTACCTGTGTGTATAAAGCTGGTATAAACATTTATTTATTATTACTTTACACAAAAGCTTAATTACATTGCCTAAAGCATTAAAAATAATGTCTCAAATAAAAGTCTAGTAGACAGACTATTAATTTGCCTACTAAGAGAATAAATAATTAGAACTTAAATTAAGTATAAATTGATGTGCTTCTGGTGAAACGGAATAAAAAACGCAGTATGCAGGCTGAGTAGATAAACCTACCCCCTAATCCGTAATAATGACGTTCATAGAGTCATGGAGTAAATGGAGCATGCCTATTTCGTTATTATTGTCGTGCTACGAATCTGAGCACAATATAGCAGTGGATGCAAAACATACCCTTTATATCGAGAAAATTACCTTGATAAGAAATATGTGATGATGATCTGCTTGATGCTTGATGTCATTAATGAAATCAAGTCGTCAATGTCTGAAGTTGCTACGAACACTCTGTCTTTACGACAAGCAGCAATTAAATACGAAAGTAAATACACATACATTGTTTCTAATTTACAGTACCGCATTGAAAGATTTATTAAATCTACAATTAAAAATTAAAGACAATTGCACACTTCAAAGTACGTAGTTGTGTAAGTATTCATTGCTGAGCAGCAGAAGACCTTTGTGCATATTGACTTACAAATATTTGTGCAGCAAGAAGTTTATACATAGGAAATGAAACTATTTTTCCGGATTTAAATCGCGTATATTTGTTTTTTCAAACAAACCGACGTTTCGGGCCCTTTACAGGTCCCATGGTCGCGGTTGACTGAGGTGGTACAGTCTTCAACCAGTTATGTCTAATATTGATGCAAACCACCCTATTTTTTCACTATAGTTACAATAGTTATTAATTAAATACCGTATTTTTAATTTTACAAAGAAAACATTCCAATTTACGCTACATTAAGTTTTACAAATTATTTTATTGAATGAATTTTTATTAAGTTCAATTTATTATTAATTATTAATAGAAATTAGAATAAACTAAAACATATTAATTAGTACTGCAGTCTTATGTCTGTTTGGGATTTCTCATTAGAGGAAATACTCTATCCCAAACTGGTGGTACGGAGAAACCATGTTCCATGTTGAAATTAGGATGTTTTTTAATTTCAATGGCCTCTCGCAGCATCCTGGGTAGATAACGGACTTCTTTTGCAAGGACCTGGGGTTTGTCAAACTTCATTGAATGTGTAGGTTTATCCATGACATGCTCGCAGACCGTGACCATGGGACCTGCAAAGGGCCCGAAACGTCGGTTTGTTTAAAAAAACAAATATACGCGATTTAAATCCGGAAAAATAGCTTCATTTCCTATGTGTAATAATCGAGAAAACCTAAGAACTCGATAAGAAGTTTATATTTAATAAAACTGCCATTACAGAGTTCTTCTTTGACAATTATGAAAGGGTATTGACGACACACAAATTCATATCAACTCGCATTATAGTATCTGTAGAAAGAGGTGAACTAGTAACATTTTGTGCTATAGTCAGCTATTCCTCCTGTATTTCCACTTCCAAGACGTATTATACATTACAAAGAACACTTTTCAAATGGTGCTCTAGATAGACCTCTTGGTCTAGCAAGACCAAGAGTTCTAGTAAGTTCAAGTTCAAGTAATGCTGAGGCATATATACCGTCATACTTTATGAACTGTTGATTATCTAGTGGTGGTAACCAGGAATGGCACCCTTTGATTCACACATCAAAGTGCCCAAAGCAATGTATCCAAGTACCCCATAGGTGAGGCACAATTGGACTATACCCATTTCTTGTTAAGATCAAAATTTCTCAATTAATCAATGTCATTTATGAAAAAAAAGAGTTCTGTCATCAATTAGGCAAAGAAAATATCCATTATTATGTTCATTTAGTAGCCTAAAATTGAAGTAAAATGTACGAATCTGCCCCGCTTGCCACTACTTACTGAAACTATTTTTTTCGGATCTGAATTGTATGTAGTTGCTTACTAATATTTTTTATTACAAAACTTCTTTAGAGTACGGTAAATATTAACGTATATTTAAAACATCATATGCGAGAAGCGATTCACCCACAAGTTTGACCAAAACATAGTGTGCTGGTGGTGTGCCGTGTTATTTACGATTGGCGCAGAGGCCACGTTTCTATGTGTGCGGGCGCTACGTGTGACGTCGTGTCGGTGAGCCTGGTGCGATTGCTTGTAAACACGGATGTACTATGAACCGCCGCCGTGATGCAAGAGTACACCTATTGATGCAAACATCTGACATTTTATACAACATCAAACCGCTCTTCAAAGTCTTTAAACAGAAACTTCGTGGGGAACATTTATTTCGAATGGACCATCGCGAAGTTACCATTTTTAAAGATACCAAGTACTTAGGCATATTTATTTCAAACACACGAAGATTGCCCGTCCATTCAAAGGTATTTTGGCACACATACCTATTAAGTAAAAAAATCATTGCAAAAGTGATCTCCATTATTTCGTTCGCTGCATTGGTAGATTCAATTGAAAATCAAAATTAGCTTACATCAACAATATGATCGTAATTAATTACATAACATGCGAAGATAATCATATATTTGGAGTTCTTAGGTTTTCGCGATTGTTACACATAGGAAATGAAACTATTTTTCCGGATTTAAATCGCGTATATTTGTTTTTTCACGGTTGACCGTGACCATGGGACCTGTAAAGGGCCCGAAACGTCGGTTTGTTTGAAAAAACAAATATACGCGATTTAAATCCGGAAAAATAGTTTCATTTCCTAATCATATGTTTATTAATATTGTATTGTAAATAATATTAAACATGTAACTCTCTTTGTATGTATTGTAAAGAGGGTGCACAAGGACCCTGCACGACGACGAACCATTCCTTTACTGCACAGACTAGGTGGTATGTTCTTTCCTGTAATCCTTTAAGCACGGTGGCAAGCATTATAGTACGCATGCCATCAATACGATAACAGAAAAATAATATTATAAAATAAACAAATTAAGTCATAATTTAAGATTTTTTTATGTGTACACTGCGCTCATAGCTTTCTTATATAAGAGCCGTTACACACGGCGACTTTAGCAAGGATGCAGTCGCTAAACATCTACTTTTACACGCGCGCGCGACTTTAAACAACGACGCAAGCGCGCGACTGCATCGACACAAACGCGCGATTCCATCACTACACTTGGCATATAAAACGCACACACTATTAGATAGGATCGATGCAATGGTGCGTTTGTATCGATGTAATCGCGCGCTTGTAACGATCCAGTCGCCGTGTGTTACCACTCTTACATACAAGGTACTGTCTTACTTGTAAAAGAAATTAAACGTACGCACTTTCATGAATGCTCCGTCTATTATCTTCCAATATTGGCGACCATGGATATACCACCTCCATTATGTAAATATATGACCCGAGAACTAAAATAATAATAAAGAAAATTTTCGAATTTCTAGACCCAGATTGGGCATCATACAATATTGGTATTTTCATCTGTATGCGATGCGCCAGTATACACCGAGGAATGGGTGCACATATCAGTAAGGTGAAGCATTTGAAGCTGGACCGATGGGAGGACTCCCAGGTACAACGAATGAAGGAAGTGGGCAACACTGCAGCCAAAAACAAATATGAGGAACGAGTCCCACCTTGTTATCGACGACCTACTAAAAATGATCCACAGTAAGTATACTACAGGAATTGATAGTGATTTAAAAAAAAATCATAAAAAACCGACCTCAAAAGTTCGTGGAGTTACGCCTATTGCCAAGTTTTATTGAAATCGGTAACCGGAAAGTGCGCGAGTTTCTGGTATCCCACTCTTAGAGGTGGAGTTACCCTCTTTCCAACAAAAAAAGTAACATCAAAATCAATTCCCAAGTTATCGCGTAACATACACAAAAAAAATACAGTCGAATTGAGAACCTCCTCCTTTTTTTGAAGTCGGTTAAAATAGTCGGCAAAAAATACATACATACATACATTGATTTTGTTGAATATCATAATGTTTTACTAAAATGAAATACAAGATGTTTTGTAAAATCACTCCTCTGGTTTGTTCTAATTATTAATACACAGGTGGAACACAAAGAAAAAATTCTTTAATCTATCAGGTCTGTATGCTAAACGACCCTAGTTTGTTAAACAGACATAACATAACTAAAGTTTGGCATACAGACAAAGGTTCGAGTCCGATTGGTTTGATCTTTGTATTAATAATTATTACATACATATATAGGTTTTTGTTGACGTAAATCATGTAAAGTAAAAAAAAGATTATATATAAATTTTCCCGTACAATTTGTGTTTTGTTTATATTTATAACCGCAAATACCAAAGTTTACCAATTAGTTTTATCAGTTTTCAACTTTCCGCTTATTGCAAAAATGTCTACATTGTGATTTCTGTGCTTTGTAGACTACGACAGAAATTGTAAGATATGGAGAAATAAGGTTAAAAATGAACACTTTTACATTACCTAGTTTTTTATTTCCTGATTGTACAATCAAGAATTTTTGTCATACATTTATTTTCGGGGATTTTCCCACATTACTCTCCCTACCTGACTCACTCACCCGCATAGAGTTTGACGTGACTCATACCTAGCGATGAGCAACGATTAGAAAGGGAATATATTATAGTGGACCTGTCTAGTTTATGGACAGGGAACATTGAAACAGTTTTTTAACGTAGAATTTAAGTACTGTTCTTTAACATTAGCCACCTGATCAATTTCATTTAGATTTGATTTTATCTTTATTTTTATTGAAGATCATGATGTTTTTACTACCATGATATTCATTACTACTTTATTATTATTATTGATAGAAAGATCGAACAAATACAAAGAAAAATTCCTTCGATCCTACTGTACTCGAACCAGCGGCTGTCGCCTCAACGTGGCTACCGCTCTGTCAACTGAGCTACGATTCGAGTCAGCAGATCTTACGAATTTCTCTGTGTTGACTTGTGTTAAAAATCTTTAGTATTGAGTTCAAATAGTTTTTTTTGTTTCAGAATATGTATTCTCAATAGGTGTCAACAATCCTGTCCAATCAAATAGTTTCTATCTGAAACTTGGAATATATTTATTATAATAATATTATATATTTAATATCCATATGAAAATTTCAGAGTTCTTATTGAACAATGGATTCGTGCAAAATACGAACGAGAGGAATTCTGCCACCCAGAGCGACAAACGTATCTTTCTGGCGCTATGGAAGGATTTCTCATGAAAAGAGGAAAGGAAGACAGCCGGTACCAGCCCAGGAAGTTCGTACTCAGTGAGAGCGAGGATACATTGAAGTAAGTCAATCCGACACACCCTGCGGTCGGTGAAAGTCGCATGGTTTATTAATAATTACCATTAATTTGCTTATTCATTCCTTCATTCAGCTTGTTTTCGCAAATTCCAATATATTTAAAAACATTGATATTATGTTTGCCTATATTGCTATTATCTATGTTATACTTAATAACTTTATCCCAAATCTGTGCAGATTTCAATAATATTGATTTATCTATTAACTATCGATTTCCCTGATTGGATAATAGTAATTGATAATTTTTAATACAAGATCCTATTTCACTTAATTGACAACGTCATTGACACTATTATAAAATTTTAATCCTATTATTCAAAGTAACTTAAAATAGCCTTCGCCTTTGTGACGTGTAGTATTAGGTATAAAAATATAATAGAATGACGAAATTATGTTAACAAAATGCGACCCACATTGACACATAAAATAGCATACATGATGTTTACTCAAGACTCGACATAACGATACGAGAGATTAAAAGATAAAATTCGGTTTCGTAGGACAACAATGGTATGTACACTTGTGACGTATAGAATACGAAAAGTTCCACGCCTCTAGAACACTACGTCAACGCAACCTGTTTAAATATTGACCTACTACGTACTTTTTCAACTCATCACTGTTTGCCGCGCTTACTATCTCACCGTGTTTTGGTACTCCTATCTTAATTTCTTCTGCAAATAACTCGCATATCTCAATGTTAGCGAAATATTGTGAAATTCTTACGTTTCATTCGTGACTTTGCGATAACGACCAATAGTAAATTAATGGGAACGGTCAAATTGAAATCAATAGTACCCTTAATTGATAAAACGACAAATAATATTTTGATTCCGATAATTATTGCTAAGAGAAACGTTCCCATATTAAATACAGTAAACGTGGACAATATGAACGTTAATTAAAAATATAAATATAGGATATTTAGAATGCAAACAGGAAAAAGTTCGTCAGGGAAAATAGCAGAAGAACCCAGTTTCAACGGTTAGTCATAATTCCGCGAACCACAGGCTATTTTAGCTTGTTACTCAAGCCTGTAACGCGAGACTGCGTCCTTATCTGTCCGTGCAACAAGCATGCATTAAAAATTTAAGACCTTACACTCTGTTCCAATTCGCTCAATCGTGTACGGACTGGTCCCTTAGGTATCATCATGCTTCAGACGGCTGTGGCCGTGCCAAGAGTTGTCTCGGTCGCTTTATCGATCGTCTCCGAGTCAAAAGCTTTGGTCGTTGGAGGTAAGAATGAGAGTGTATTTGATGATGTATCTATTTGTTGAATAACTCCGGTGCTGGGATGGTTGTGGTATACACGATGGTTAGGGAATAGGTTTGATGTAAGCCAGTTCCTTGCTTCCTCTTTCTCTAGCCTTCGCATTACATTGTCTAATTCCCCAATCACATATGCGTATTACAAAAATCATTAAATGTTTAACCGACATGTTTATTACGAGTACATTATGTTGCCATTTCATAACGCCGCAGTCAACATATTGTGGTTATGGCAATCACGCGATTTCATCATGATTTTCATTTCATCATATCACGACCACAGAAACGTCGCAGCGCAAAGTTTCATAAAGTTGGCTATTGTTTATTGTATTATTTCCAGCGTTATCTAAAAATTCGTTTGCTACTTTTCTTCAGATATCACGTAAATGAGAATAGAGAACCAAAGGGTGTACTGAGGCTATCAGAGCTAAACGTGGCCTTTGCCCCAGCCAAAATCGGTCATATGAACTCAATGCAATTGACCTTCATGAAAGATGGAACAACACGCCACATCTACGTTTACCACGAGAACGCAGAGAAGATTAATAACTGGTAAAGTTTATAAAGATTTTTCTTGTTTATGTCAAAGCTTTATGTAAATGAGGCCTTGTGACGTTGCCTTAGATGAAGTTCCTATGATAGATATGATAAACGATCTATGACGTATCAGATTTTCCTTGCCTGAGTCAGAAACTAAGATAACTTCGATTTCAATGCCTAAAGTCAGCTAACCATCGTGACCATTGGTAAGTAACAAAATTGAATTGCGATTTTTAATGTTCAGGTACACAGCAATTCGTTGCGCAAAACTACACCTCCTTCAAGTAGCATTTCCTTCAGCCCCCCAATCAGACCTCCTACACCGCCTTCCTAAAGATTTCGCGCGGGAAGGTTGGTTGTGGAAAACAGGGCCACGGCCCACAGATGCTCACAGAAGGCGATGGTTCACGTTAGACAACAGGAAGCTTATGTATCATGACGAACCTCTTGATGCGTATCCTAAAGGAGAAATTTTTATAGGTAAGTTTTGATTTACATCAATACCAAATAAAACGGCTATTTTAAACATTCTCCATACTTGACACTAGTGTACACAATGGAAAATTAGTGATAAATTTATCGTAAAACTACAAGAACTATAGCTACTGGCTGTAAGAATTGTGTTATTCTAAATTGTTGTTCCAAGATCGGCTTTGGATTATTGCATTCCCTCATGTCCTGAAGCCTGTGCCTAAAGTAATTAAAATAATACTCCGTTATAAATGTTTACTGAATACAATTACTTGTCTATATAATTTTATGTCATATTACCCAATTATTATACAACAAACAAGAGAATACAAACATTTCCAAGTTGCGAGGAAATGATCACAAACCAGTTTCTTTATTTTATTACACATGGTAACAGTTAGTAGTATTATATTATCAAATGCATACAAAGAAATTTTACTATTCCCAAAATTAATACGTCAGGACGAAGTAGAAAAACGCAGCTGTGTCAATATACTGTTGTCAAGTAGTATTCGTTCATACGTCAATAGTGACGAGGTAGGTATTTTCATAACATCTGCCTTTCTTGTTATGACTAACATTTGCATTTAACTTTCGAGATATTGGCACCTTAAGTTTCTTTTCTTTGAAAATTGTCAATTACGCTGGTTTTGATTAACAATAAAACTGAAACTAAATAAGATATAAAAAAAACACTTGTTGTTTTTGGGGTTGTAGAACTGTTTTGATTTCATATTGTTAATAACATTGACGTTAATAATGTAATTTCGCGAAAAATTTCGATTACTTTAGTTGAGGATTCGCTAAGTAGGTAGTTAACGTTTGTGTTTGATGGCGAATGTTATAGTTTATCTCATAATCGTTATGCACAACACTTTTTTGTCTGATTTTTGATTATGACTAAAATCGACAGACATTGAAGTTTAGACTGCAAGAAACATCTGAAAGACATTGACCTAAAGTTAAACGTCACCTAGTTAAGAGTAGAAGAGTTAGACTTACTTAGTCCGCATATTGTCCCAATGAACTACCCGAAGCTCATCCATCTATCTATTGTAGTCTTCTTCGCTTCTATAATAATGTTAAAATTCCTCGTGTTTCAGGTCACGAATCAAACGGTTACTGCATCAAAGTTTCGAACACCGGGAATGGCTGCAAAGAAGCAAGATTTCCCTTCCACTTAGTGACGCCGGATAGGACGTATTGTTTAGCTGCAACGACCCACGAAGATCGGGCTGGGTGGTTGGCAGTCATACAGCAAACCATTAAAAGACCTCTTACGCCTCAAGACTCTGCAAGTGGGTAGTGTTATTGCGTATTATATATGTATCTATTCCAATTATGAATTGCAGAAAGATCGTAGTACCATAGTATTACAATACCTTTCCTACATTAGCGTAACGACTTTGAAGTTCGTGCGATACCGCTCTCTCGCTGATGCGCAGATGTGCTAGGGTTGTCAGTTTATCACACAAAGCTTATTATAACGTAATCATTAATAACAATAATTATTATTTTTTTAATACACAATAATGAAATTATTGTTAAAACAATTAGTAAATATTATTTATCTAGTTATTAAGATTTACAAGTGTTGCACTGCCAAATATTTACGTGACACTTAATTTTTTGATGTTTTCATTTTTCTTATATAAAATTTAATATGAAATGAAATGTATTTGCATTGAGATGAACAGTTTTAAAACGTGAATAGCGGTGCTTTTTATAAATATGCATATGTATTTATAGATTTGTACGGCATGGGAATTAGAATTTACTTTTATAAATAGATAGGCACGTATTACAAAATTATAGGAAAAAGTAACCTCGTGTCACGGGGAAATGTATGAAATTTCAAATACCCTGTTGTATTTCGTTGTCGAATTACAACCGTACACAGAACAGTTGTGCACCATTATTTATATACGCATAAAACGATTTTCGTCACTCAACGTATTCAAAAATATTTCAAACCATTCACGTACGTCAACCCTTAGCGCTCGGCACGCAAACTCAGCGCGTTCGCTCGCATCGACCGAAGCCGCCCAACCCCTCTCGAGTTTCTCTTCCCCCCCCCCTTCGTTGCTCTGCGCAAGAACATTCGTTGCACAACTTTATGGTTTGTAAAACTGTGGTAGTACTATTAATTTTATTAATTGTTGTCCAAGAAATCCATTTAATTATCGCTTCCACATTGGCGCTTTACTGCGAGATTTTTTAGAATTTAGAACCTACATACTACGCCCGTCACCCTGAGACATAAGTTGACAAGCAAATGGAAATGTCCCATAAAACGAGTCACTACCACATTTTAGTTTTGTTGAATATCGTGATAATATTCATAATTTTTATTGTATTGGAAAAACACGCAGAAAAATTCCCCGAATCCGACTGGGTTCGAACCGCAAATTAACTTGTATAAGCCATTCGACTTGAGCTTGCACAGGCCATAGTGGCTTATGCAAGTTTTTTTATGGTACCAAGTGATGGAAAGAACAAGTCGTGTGCGTGGTGGTTAGCGACACGCCTGTCCATGAGGGCGCGTTTATTCGACACGAATTTCATCGCGCTTACGCCGGGCGGTCGCCACGTGGAGACCGCGTGGCCGCCGCGCAGCGACCGCGTGCATCTAACTGTCATGGCAAAATATGGCTCTAATTATTTAGCATTTACGTCTCGGGCGCGCGGGCGAGTCTGGCTTGTCTTTGATCTACTCCGTGGAATTTAAATGTTGTTGCCTAGTAAATAGAATTCAGATTCTTCATTAACATTAATATTAACGTACGTACGTGAAAGCTGGGCGGTTGCCGCGCGGCCGCACGAAAACTTTCGGGTCGTGTAACTGGGCGCGAACAGTTGCAGCGTCACTCAGAGCTCTAAATCGCAAAAATCTGACAGGCACTGGCAGCACGCCCGTGACCCAAAGATATTGAAAAGTCCCATGTGCTTGTAATTTCACTGTACCAGTACCGTACCATAAGTTACCTTATGAGACTCCAACGTGGAGACGCGACCTAAAAGATTTCCATCTCGCAATATTAGGTATAATTAAGCTTAGTGCAACGCAAACATCACATAGTGTGGTATTTATGTAACACATAATGTTTTTTCTTTTCAGTTGAGGCTACACTTGTACGAAAACGAACAACATCCAACTCCATCAGTATATTTTCAGGAAGGTAGTTGGTTAATAATCTATCTTAGTTGTACTTGTAAGTATTTCACACATAAACGTATTTTTACCAAGATAGTGATTAGGCATCGATTGTACGTTTACTTCTCATACGTTTTATTTATTCAAACTGAACATAATGAGTCTTTCCGACTGAGGTTTAGTTGCATTGTTTGATTCTGATTCGTTTATAATTCTTTTAGTGAAGCACCATAATTAAACGGTAGGTTACCTGCTTTAAATTTCTTGTTGTAGATAACTTACAATAAAATTGATTCACATCAATAACAAATTATTTCCGTTAATTTCTTTTTTTTTTTATATAAAAACTCCGTTTTGGTTTGAAATAATTGATTGTTTAAGTTATATTTTATGTGATTGCTGTAATCGTATTTATTCTTAGTGCAATTTTAAATCAGTGTTTTTAAAGTTCATATGTAAAATAATTTATATTCTAAACTTTTTAGGGTCCTATTTAGTTTATCATGTTAATTTATGATATACTTGCACGCATCATTTTGATATTATATCATGCAATTAAGTTATAATAATCTATTAGTAGGGTTGTACGCACAATTAATATCACAAATACATGCTTAGGTATGTATTATTTGTATACATTTTAAGCTCCATTATTATGCCAATATATTTAGGTATATTATATTATCCACAATAACTATGCTATGTATCTTCAATTTCGCAATATAAAAGAGTGTGGTAAATTCTTAAACACTACCTATTATACATATTTTCACATATTATTAGGAACTATGTAGTAAATATTCACGTAATTTATACGAAATATGTTAAGCTCTATTTCATACATTGATAAAAGACAAATTGTACAGGGATAACATAAGTGTATATAAATTGTTATCTCTCCTTGATGAGTGTCCTTTATAAAAAAAAACTTTCAACGTCAAGTTCCATCATGTCCCCTTGACCTTGTCTTTTGCTTTTATTCCCTGTTCGTTGATCCTGTCGGCTTCACGTTTTAAATGTCGCAACGCGATGCAAAAATAACATTGTCGCCGTTATTAGAATGCACAATAAAGAAATAAATACCTAGTAAAAGTATAATAATTTGATGTAACTATACGTATTATTAACTATCATAACACATGTGACTTGTACAATTTAATTGGATATGACAGAAGCACTACATTACTTAGTTATGGAACTTTACATACATTGTTTTTGCTATAGATTTTCTTAAGAAAATAGGGTGGATATATTTGCAAACTTCTGCATCATCATGATCGAAAATTGCAGTGATTATTAAGATTACAATTAATAAAGACCTAATGCCACAAGTATACGTAATGCTATAATTACAGGATATTGTCTACTAGATTTTATTCCTAACCTTTCGCGCTTCAGTAGGGCTAACACGATAGGGCGTGACTAGCGCGAAAGCGAGAAAGCGCGAGATATCTATGCGAGAATAGTATCTCTCGCATTATGTCGCTCTCGCTTTAGTCGCGCCTACGCTTTAGTTCCAGACCTACAGATGCGGTTTTCATATAAAATTTACAATTTTTTCTACCGTATATCGTGAAAAGCTCGTTTATATTCTCGCCTCGTAGAATCTATCATTTATGATCCCCGTTTATTCCCATTACGTCAAGGCGTACTAATGCTACAATACATATTTCAGTGAATGTATAGGTACGGTGGTCTTGAAAACTGTAGTCGAATTTATTATAGGAAGTGTACTGCGCCGCACTCTATGTGTGGAGCGCGTTACACTGTAGTAGTGATCACAATTTTTTTCCTAGTTTACAATTTGTCATGTTGACATACTACTTATAGCAATAAAATCTTGCAAAATAATCATAATTTGCAGCCTTTGACACATATTACTAATATAAATAAAATTATTATAGGTTAACTATTTATAGTATAAAATACACTGTCGCAGTGATTCTAGGATATAATAAATAAGGTCATGTAAGATTAGCTTTAGTGTAGATTATTTTCAATGGTTGTTGATTGGTTAGTATTTTAGCCAAAAATTTGGTAATGCGTCGTTTCGAAGTTGTCTTTTTTCCGCAAATCTATTTCTTACTGCTTCTAAAAACACTAAAAGCCAGGGACAAATCAAGTACGAATAATGAAATTAAGCGTGCAGATTATATAGTTTTTGTACCGTGATATGACGCCTACAAGGGTTTTTAACTTGGTACAATCGAGCGTAATTTTAGTCGCGGTATTTCTATAGATTTGTCTTTAGACAGTTGTGTCAATTTCCACGCCATTTCGTTCGCAGCGGTATATTATAGTATAATAAGACAATTAGTGTAAGCGCGGCTTATACATATGTTTACGCGCCCGCCGCGCTCCGTGTACGGATGCATACATTCACAATTTCGCGGTATACTCGAGTTGCATAGCGCAGGCATTGCATTATAGAATTAAAACGTACTCTCGGTATTTGAAAAATTACATCAAATAATAGACATGTTTATTGTTGTGTTCATGGTTGTTTGAACAAGAATGCTGAAGTTCGAATTGTTCAGCATTTCATTTCTATTTCATAATCATTCTCCTAAAATATCAATATGTAAGTACTGAATTTGACAAAGGTTGTGACGATACGACCTCTTTCAGCATCATCCCACCTTTTTATCACCCTTTTCTCTGGATGCTGGCCACTTTTGAAATTTTGAATCGTTCTCTAATTATTTTGCCGCGTGATTCTTACTTTGCTTCGTTTCGTCGCCACTCCTATCAAAATTCTCGGAGAGGAAAGATCGTATCCTCCTATCATGTAAACAGCAGCAATATAAGCAGCAATAATACGAATTTGGGCCTTTGGGTCTTTATTTTTCCGGTCCTTCCTTTCTTCTTTCCTTCACCTTTTCCGTTATACTTCTACAATAAATTCATGTGGACCGAGCGTACTTTCTATCACTTTTACTCCGCCCCTTGGCCACAAGGTTATTTCAATGTAGCTCGAGAATACTATGATGAATACCTTTTTTTTAATTATGTTAACAACCTGTGTGAACTGCAACTAAAATAATAATGTGACAACCCTACGCTCCGAGTGACGTGTAATACAATACAATGTAATGCAATACTTGTCTTATTATACTACGATCATACCACTACTTTTAAGCTAATACAAGGTTTATTATATAACATGCGAATCACATTTTTCGAATTTATGTAAGAAATGTGACCAAAAACGGATATTTTCTGATTAATGTACCAAAATGTAGTGTAGCTGTTTAATATAACCAATAGTATTACGTTATTTTGACGTCTTAACGACGATTAACCGTAGTATTTTTTTTCATCCTTCGGGCTAAGGCCTTAATTGGCCATAGTATACAGATTGTATTGATTTTTCTTTAATACTTTAATTTTCTGACGTTTTTTTGCGGGAAATCGTTATATCTTTAGAGTGGCCATTTTGAAACTCCCCAAAAATACCGACGATTAGCCAAAATAACTAAATGTTATTGGTCACTCCTTACAGATTTAAGTTACATCTTTGAGTTTGTTGATGATATAATACTGTTTTTTTTTTGTTGTAAAATATAAATACTATAATTAATAGAAAATCGGTCACCGTACACATACGCTTACAATGAGCAAACTAGTAACATTGCAGAAAATAAACTTTAAGAACAATGCGCACTCTAGTATCGTGTTCATAATGCAATAATTAAATTAAGATGAACCTTGACCCGCCGGAAATAGGGACGAACAGAAGTGGCTGCGAGGTAAAGTCTGAGGACTTTTTAAATGGTTAAACATGCCAATACATAGCTGCTGATAATGCTCTATTGTAGAAAATATATAGTATCGTTGCATTTAGTTTATTGTACATGCCAAACATAAGTAAGTAGTTACGAGTGTTTATTAACTTCACTGTAGGAAGTGAATAGCAAATTTAATCGAGAAAGGAACCTAGTTTACTGTGTGAGGACTAGGAACTTTCTTTTTTTAATGAATTTTTATTATAAAATTTATTTATAACAAAAACTTACAGTCGTACAACAGACGTTTCAGTTTTATTTTCATAAACAATTAAGTAGTATCTATGTGTGGAATTTTTTACATGAATCCATGTAAACTTAGCATCTTAGTCCAAAGCTATAAGGTGGCGAATGTATTGAATTCGAAAGTTAGGAGACTACCAAAAATAATGACGGTAGAGATATTTAATAAGTAACTATAACGTATACTATATCAAATACTATGATACAGGACAAAGCTTCAGTAAGGGTAGCGATAATATGAATATAATTCATCTAACGTAGTTTTAAGGTATTCAGGAGGATTTCTTTATATTGGTTTTACTAATGAAAATAATGAATGTGACGTCTTGCACGTGACGTATAGTATATTATCATCTTCAATTGGTAAATTGTTATGACGCTGCGTCAAAACCAATCTAGAGTGAGTTCCTTGAATGATACACCTCGTAGGGAAAAGTTTTCGAATTGGCTTCACTTTTTGAATACGCATTAGGAGCTCAAAACTTTGACACAAACATAATATTCACCCATATGTTCCCAGCTATTGTATAACTAAATTGAATTCAACGTACGAAGGAACAATATGTTCACGTTCAATATTTAAAAAATCGTTTTCTTTTATAATCTCGTTTAAGTCCATAATCGAGTGGTCTTAATTTCTGCCTGTGGTCGTACTTGTCTACATACTATTTTTTTTGTTTTAAAATGGTTTTCATGTATAAATTAAATGTTCCACTTACCAAATTTTAATGTTTAATTACTTACTATTTTTTTAATGTTTTTAGTTTTTTTTTTCTATTGTTTGTTATTAGGAGTATGACTACGACTTAAAACGATTACAATTTCAACTATATAGAACACTTCTAAATTTGAATCATTTTACATTGTCATCATTTTCCTTTCTTGTCAGCTAACTCAAATTCACTCTAAAATTCGAGTGTTTGTAATTCAATTTCTAATTAGGATATTTTTATAGACTTTCTCTAAAACATAAATATTATAATCATTGTAGGTATATTATAGGCCACAATTTATACACGTACAGCCAGCAAGAAAGTAATTCGACTACACGTAATGTGATAGATAGTGGAAGGTCTGGTTTCACTGCTACTGACTGTATAGAAGATGTCAAAATTCTTAGTTAAAAATTAGTCGTCGTTTTTTTATATTTATATGGCTTTAATTGATTTTCAACATAAAAAATTACAGCACTTTATTAATTTAAACTTATTATTACAAACTTTGGTAATTTTAATCGCTATCGGTTTTATTTGTGAATTAAAAACAGTGTGTACTTAATTCGGTTTCTAAAATCAATTGACATACTTTAT